GGGTTCTGCGTGGGCAGGTATCTCCCTCTCTTGCCCTTCACTTCCTCCCAGTCGTGTTTTGGCAGACTGCTTGGGAGCCAAAATCTGGTGCTTCGGCTTCTTTAGGTCTCGGGTTTCGATCCCTGGTGAGCTCTTCAGGTTACGCTTCCGCCGTTTGCCTTTCTTGATCTCACGTTTGACCTCTTCCACTTCGGAGTCTTTCATCGTTGTTTCAGAGTCCGTACGTGGGCGCGGCTTCTGCAGGGTTAGCGTCTGGTATCCGTGTCTCTTCACGACGCCGGAGCTTTGCGAAGTCGCCAACGATCGTAAACATCCTGGTTTTGATCTCCTTATAGATGTTCAGTCTTCCCTGCAAAAAAGTTTTTAGGTCCGTGAGGCGCATCTCGAGTTGCTGTCATTTACGGATCCGCTTTTTCTCGAGTTGGGCCTGAGGCCCATCTCTTCTTGTAGCATCTGAGGCCAAGGAGTCCACCTTTGAAGTACTTGGTGATAATTGGCTGCTCCCACAATCCATGGAGCCGGCATCAGCCACCAGGGCTTGCACCCGATCGGAACTGACGGCGGGATTTCCCTGGTCCGGAATACCCGCATGGGAACTTTGCATTTTGTCATCACTCAATATGTTTCCTCTGGGTTGTTCAAGGGGGCCCACCCTTTGTTATGGACTGTTGGAGGGAGCCCACCCTACACATCTCTTTTAGAGTTGGGTTTCTCCACCCAGATGTCCTGAAAAAGACAGGCCTCGGCTCAGTGGGAAGGTGTTGGTTCACGCCGATGTAGTTTAATTAGTCGGTACCCTGTGTTCCGAGTATAATAATAATCAGAACAGGGAGAGCATTCCCCACATCCACCTTCCAGCCTGCGAAAACTAGCGGGAAGTAAAGGCGTTCCTCGCCGAAAGGATCCGTGGTGTGTGTGTGTGTGGTTTTTTTTTCATAAAGTTTTAGAAAAATCTTCAGAAGATTCTGATAAAGTGATGGTAAAAACCAGATCTGGAATTCCTACGCAGTAAAAACCCTTTTTTCCGGTTTTTATTTGTCCCCAATTCCCCAAGGAACCGCCGGCAGGCATTACTTCTTGGGGGGGGGGGGGCCTTAGCCATAGCTCTTCCTCATGTTGTGGTCTTACAACTGCGTTATTTTTTCCAGAGCTCCTTCATGACTTTCGCCGCGAAGTCACTCGTTGTGTCTCAGGCTGTCTGTGATGACAGCATTGCCTCAACCAAATTCTCCCGCTGGATCATTCCACCAAGAGCAGACTCCCACTCGGAGCGGCTCCCACTAAAACATGAACATACAAAAAACATGCTCTGCGTCTTCTTCAGCACCTGTACACGTTGAGCAATTCGGGGAATTCTCATGTTTGAATTTACGGAGATAAGCCCGAAACACACATGTCCTGAAAGCATCTGAGTCAAGTAATAATTTACTTCGCCATATTCACGGTTTACCCAAACACCTACCTGCGGGATGCTCAATCGTTTCAGCGAGGTGCTCCATCGTGACTGCCAACTCTGCATGCTCTTGCGTCTCTCTTCTACTCTAAGCTCGGTTGAGTTCAGTTGAATCGATCCTTTTTGCCGGTAGAGAGATCTTCATTCTTCACTTAATACGTTAATTGGCATCATTCCGGCAATCACAAACACGGCATCATCAGATACAGTGCGTTATGCGGTGGCAACTCTGAGAGAACTTAGTCGATAAAACGATGGCACTTTGCGTCGGGTCTCCTGTGTTTGAAGTGCATCAGCCCAGATAGCAATTGCGTAAGTAAATACTAACGTAATCACTGACGACAGTAAAGCTCGTCTTCTCTGCTTGGGACCTTCTATATTGGGCATAAGGCGCGATAAAGCAGATCTAACCCCAGATGCCTTGGTAGAAACATCTTCCACTTGCTGCGTGAAGTTCGGTCGGGCGTCAATTATTACCCCCAGATACCGAATGAACGGCTGGGAAGTGAATTTGTAGTTGCCGACTTGCAGCGTGATCGTCTGAACAACTTTCCTGCTTATTATCCACACAGCTTCGGTTCTGTGCTCCGCCAGGCTCAGACCAACTATGTCCATCTAGCGGCGTACTTCCCCAAAGGTCATATCGAAGGCGAGTTCAATCTCCTCAAGGTGTTTTCCTACGATGACTATGGCCAGATCACCCGCAAACGCCACCAGTTTCACATCTCGTGGCAGAGTCAGTTCCAGCAAGCCATCATACATGATGTTTCACAAGAGAGGGACCAATACTAAGCCCTGAAGTACCCCTGCAGTGACTCTTTTCTCCTTTGGAAGACACTCCGTGTCGTACTTGAGGACCCTTCCAGTGAAGTAGTCGTCCACCATGTTCCGTAGATGTTCAGGCACGCCGAACCTCTCGAGACGCTCTATAATACAGTCCCATCTGGCTGAGTTGAAGGCATTCTTGATGTCCAGTGTCGCTACTACGCAGTACTTCTTTCTGCCCCTGTACCATCTCGCCCCTGAGATAGCTTCTCTAGCGGTGTCAACCACGAGGTTGTCGGCATCAACAGTGGATTGTCCTCTCCGAAAACCATTTTGGTTACTGGCTAGCAGTAGTTCAACGGCTGCTTCGATTCTCTTATGGACGATACGCTCGAAGATCTTGCCAGCTGTGTCGAGCATGCAGAGGGGATGGTACGGATGAGGGTTCGTCCGGTGGTTTTTTCCCTTTCGGGAGCAATACCAGCCTCTGCTGCTTCTACTTTGCAGGGAAGGTGCCCTCGCTGAGACAATCATTGTACACGTCCAAGAATAGGCCTGGCAACGCGTGGATGGTGGCTTTTAGCGCAATGCTGAGAATTCCATCAAGACCCGGGGCCTTGGTGTTCCCGACCCGACCACATCCCTCCATCAGCTCATCCTCAGTGATTGGTGGGACCATCAACTATTTTCCTCGTTTGTTGGCACGCTGGAGTTCCGGTTGTTGTGAAAAAAACTAATCTTATGTCTTGATATCGTCATTTAGAAGGTGATGACGATTCTTTCCAAGAGCTCAGGGCACGTCGGGGATGTCATGCACTGGCTTTTGATCCGCGTCATCACCATCTTGTACGACCTGCCCCATGGGTCACCTTCTACTTTAGCAATCAGCTCATTCCAGGAATGTGTCTTGCTGCACTTAATGGTCTTGCTGAGCTTACGTCGTGACTTCTTGTATCGCATCTCCAGCTCCTCGAAGTTTGGCTTCTTTCGGCCACGCTGGGACGATCTCCTTGCTGCGTTACACTCCCTGCGCAAGTTGGCGATGGTATCGTTCCACCAATATACCGGTGGCCACCAATTGGTGATGCGCTTTCTGGGAAAGTAGATAAGTAAGGAGACCTGGTCAGAGGGGCCCGCGAGAAGGCTGGGTGAGTGGAAGGGTTAATTAATCCGCGCCAATTAATTGATTAGTTATTGATTGATTTAATTATTGATTAATTAATTAATCAATTATCAAATTCATTAGTAGGTTCTGGAACAACGTTTTAGCGGAGACCTGGCCAAAGGGCCCCCGTGAGAAGGGTCGGGTCGGTGAACGGGTTGATTCATTCGCGGGTTGCGGTTTAATTCGCGGTTTGATTCGCAGGTTGAATTTGGCTAGTGATGGGCAAGCATCGAAAATTTCTTCAATATTAACTAGTAATGGTGCTAATACAGGATCAGAAATTTTTTTCAACCACTCTTTTTTCTCTTCACCTTTCTCATAAAGTCTACCAATATTTTCCCATTTTTGCACTAATTGTCCAACTTGCTCGTATGATCCATTTCCATAGTCCCAAGGTAATCCATGATGATGACGCTCAAGCCACAAAGCTACACTTCTATGCTTCGCTGGTAAACTGGAGAATCTCCATGGAGGCTTGAAAAACCATACGTTAGGGTATCCAACTCCAGAATCCAAAACTGTGTATGCGAAGTCTTTTACAATAAACTCGTTGAAGAAAGTTTGGAAGTTTTGTATGTCCACGAGTAACTCCATGGCGACTAATGAAATGATACTACTCACATGATAATTAGTATACCCCACCCCTCCCTTTAAATTAATTTCCTCACCCCTCCGCTTATGGGGTTATAATGTACCACTCGATCATGCAAATGAGGCAATAAGCAGCAGTCTCTGGAGAAAAGCTTATTTTAATTTCAAACTCTAGGCAGACATCGACTGGACCAAACTTCAAGGATTCATTTTGCTTAGAACAATCAATTACCCTCAGTGGTGTAATATTTGCAAAATGAGCTTTAGTTAATAATGGATTGTTCATTTGTTGATCATAATATGATGATTGAAAGTTTGAATACATATCGTAAAGTGTCGAATATTGATTCTCAGCCATATTTACATCTAAAATTTACATATGGATAACATTAAGAATTTAGAAATAATTTGACATCTGCAATGCTACAGTGATCAAAATTGCCAGCGTTTCCCTTATCCTTATTTTTTCGATCTGTCTGGAAGCCCAGAATGACATGACGTGGTTTTTCAAGCGGCGTCGCGGTTTTCACCGTCCACACGTATTTTGTTGTCGCTGGAACCATTGGGTATTCATATAATTCCCATGATCTGAAGCTCATCGGTATGGCAGAATCTTTATGGATGAAATTCAGCAACTCAATCTTTTTAGTATCCAACAGTGTGACATATCGGATCGACCATTCAATTTTACTAAAGTTGATCTTAACGGCTTCTTTTGCGGTTTGAATCAGAGCGTCATTATCATGACAAGCCCTAATCAAAACCAACTCATGTTTCACATTGACCATAATTTTTCGATAATCTTCAGCAAATCCCAGCAAGATACTTAATGGGATGGAAATATCAAAACAACCATTTCCATCAGTTAAACTCATTTTTTCTTGAATGCCCAGCCATCCAGCATTTTCCACTGAGATGCTTTGATTGGGTGTTAATGAGATGAGATTTTTCATGAGAGTAATGATACCCACATTCTTGACTTTATCAATCTCAATAGCATCAATTTCATAACAGATCTCTTGAAATAGATGACAAATGGCGTTATTCACAAATTTTGTAGTTGTAGAGACTGTCTTGTCCGATTTAAGCAGTTTACCAGTGATGTGCAAGTAACTTTTGCTTGGCAAAATGCAGAGATTCTCATTTTGTACAGTAATTCGAATTTCATCGCTATTATCCAGTGCTGTCGAGGCATATGCCTGATGTGGATGGATCTCATAGTGAGCGATGGAATCCTCAAAGATCGGAGGGAGTTTGATATTCAGGCTTTCCTCTATGGCATACAATAGGCGAACAAGATTTGTATTTGACAAAAACGTTTTTCCCGCTTTTTCTCACGGCCAGACCAAGACTCTTGAGAAACTTCACGTTGAGAGGTGTTAACACCTTGAAGCCAGCACGCGAACTGATTGAAGCGAGGCATGATTGAGGGCTTTTATAGGAGTAGCCAATCTTACCATTATATACAATGCCCATGATTATGAAGCAGACTTGATGTGTAGCCTGATGGTAATTGCTTCGCCTCTAACGTTCACCAAGTCACCGTCCTGATCAATGATTCGGAGCTGTAAATCGGTTATCGTTTTGATACACTGGTAAATAAATAACTTGCGAAGGTACTTCTACAATTTTATATGCAGGGGGCACTAGAGGAAAAAATTCATGAATTGTATGATCTTTATCACTGTTGTTGTATGCTCCAGTGGTGATATTACATTCAACTTGTAGGGCGTTCACTTTGAGAATGGTTACAGACTGATCAGACTGATGAGTTTTATTAGCCTCGAAAACTCTAGGGGTAAAACCAAAAAGACGACCTATCGAATTTGTAGACCTCAATCCAAATCGTTATTACATGACACTTCACTCCGTAAAGTGTTATTATTCCTTCTGATTTTTATGGTAATATCATTTTTTTTCACACTTTTCACAATGAATGTTGAAATATCATCGATCTCTTAACTTCTTATTGGAATGGTAATGATCATGTTCCCTATAGGTAATTTGTTATTGCTCGTACCAACATATGGAATGGAATTAAATGTTAAAAATTCCACGAGGCCAAGAACATAATTTTTCTCAGGAGCAAGTTCAATTAGAGGAAAGTATTGCACCTCGAACACTGATAATACTCCTGAGACTGTCAACGTAAATGAATCACTCATGATTTCTGAACATCGAGTAATCAAAAATCTTCAGTGTCTGCTCTTATATAAGCGTCCGTTGAGAAACGCCAAACATGAATGTCCACAATTAAATGTATTCCAATTTTGAAAACGTTCATGATTATATTTTCTGCTACCAACTCCAAGGTATGTGAAGAGTTCTGTGGGAGGTTGTAGGCTCCCAAAGTCATCGAAATAGGTGACATCGTTTCCTATTTTCTTGTAGGCGACCCAATGGGTCCCAGGACCATCCTTGTCATCTAAATTGATGATGACTAATTCATTAATGAATGGTCCATTTTTGGGTACACCATTGCACATGAAAACACCGCGGAAATGTGGAATTTTCATGAGTGTTGCATACTTTCTGAGATCTCCATCCGTCAAAGCCCTGCATGGTAGCATCGTTAGTAGTTTCTTGGCTTCAAAAGTACGAGCCCATTCCCTTCTTATATGGTTTCACATGTAGACCTTTGCCAAGTGCGATAGCTTCCGTAGTTTCATTGTGCCTTTTGTTCAACGCGAGTCGTTATTTGGCCGCTTTAGCACTGTTCACAGCTTTAACAATTCCAGCAGCTCCTCCAGCCAATGCCCCTGTGGCACTCAACCCCGCAAATATCGGCATGAGAAAGGGTAAGATTCCCCCGATTTTCGATGGGACAGGAATCACTCGTGAGATAGTGACTCTACTTTTCCCTCCAACCTATTTGATGGCTACTCTTGCACCGGTGAGTGCTGTCTTGATAGCAGCAGGTGAACCACTGTTTTATTTGATTGACTTCTTAGCGGCTCTGATGATTTCCCCAATTGTGACCCGCTTTTTAGTCTTACCCTTCTTCTTCACTCGCTTCTTGGTCACGCGTTTTTTCACCCCCATACCTGATTTTTTTAGTCGTTCTACAGGTTCCTGATTTTTTCACACCAGCGCC